AAATTGTAGAGAGAAACAAGCCCTATAACATAGGATACAACATTTTAATGAACAGTGCTTTCCATAAAATCAATAAAATGAAAAATATACGAAATAATATACATGTACTGATTTCTTTCGAAAATCGACAACTATGAAACTATGATCCCTTCCCTGACACAAACGGTAGATTGTGAGACAGGAAATTGTAGAGAGAAACAAGCCCTATAACATAGGATACAACATTTTAATGAACAGTACTTTCCATAAAATCAATAAAATGAAAAATATACGAAATAATATACATGTACTGATTTCTTTCGAAAATCGACAACTATGAAACTATGATCCCTTCCCTGACACAAACGGTACATTGTGAGACAGGAAATTGTAGAGAGAAACAAGCCCTATAACATAGGATACAACATTTTAATGAACAGTACTTTCCATAAAATCAATAAAATGAAAAATATACGAAATAAAATACATGTACTGATTTCTTTCGAAAATCGACAACTATGAAACTATGATCCCTTCCCCGACACAAACGGTACATTGTGAAACGGGAAATTGTAGAGAGAAACAAGCCCTATAACATAGGATACAACATTTTAATGAACAGTGCTTTCCATAAAATCAATAAAATGAAAAATATACGAAATAATATACATGTACTGATTACTTTCGAAAATCGACAACTATATGAAACTATGATCTCTTCCCCGACACAAACAGTCCATTGTGAAACAGGAAACTGTAGAGAGAAACAAGCCCTATAACATAGGATACAACATTTTAATGAACAGTGCTTTCCATAAAATCAATAAAATGAAAAATATACGAAATAATATACATGTACTGATTTCTTTCGAAAATCGACAACTATGAAACTATGATCCCTTCCCCCACACAAACGGTACATTGTGAAACGGGAAATTGTAGAGAGAAACAAGCCCTATAACATAGGATACAACATTTTAATGAACAGTGCTTTCCATAACATCAATAAAATGAAAAATATACGAAATAAAATACATGTACTGATTTCTTTCGAAAATCGACAACTATGAAACTATGAACCCTTCCCCGACACAAACGGTACATTGTGAGACAGGAAATTGTACAGAGAAACAAGCCCTATAACATAGGATACAACATTTTAATGAACAGTGCTTTCCATAACATCAATAAAATGAAAAATATACGAAATAATATACATGTACTGATTTCTTTCGAAAATCGACAACTATGAAACTATGATCCCTTCCCCGACACAAACAGTCCATTGTGAAACAGGAAATTGTAGAGAGAAACAAGCCCTATAACATAGGATACAACATTTTAATGAACAGTGCTTTCCATAAAATCAATAAAATGAAAAATATACGAAATAATATACATGTACTGATTTCTTTCGAAAATCGACAACTATGAAACTATGATCCCTTCCCTGACACAAACGGTACATTGTGAGACAGGAAATTGTAGAGAGAAACAAGTGCTATTAAGCAATCTTGTAAACATTTTTAATCTTAAAGCATCACACCATAATTAATTTAAACCAAAATCTCGTAATACATAACTAAAGTGTCAAAACGAAATAAATAAGTAAATGTGTCAAACAATGTGATATGTTTTAAAACAGAGCTGAATTCCCAGCGGAAAATTTCAATTCCAGTTAGTCAGCCCGACGCCGAATATGTCCATGGTTGGCAACAATGAATTTAAAAATGACGCCCTCGATGACGTAACTAATAGCGTTTGAAAATAATAATAAATATAAGTTTATTACTCAACATAATTCAGTGGTCATGTCCTATAATAGTAGATTATCTTTTTGGGTCACCCTATAAATGAACATACGTTTTAATGTTCAAGATGCCTCTAATGAAGTGTTGTTTATATATTAGGTAATGCAAGTGGGTTATTCAAACAGCATCAAGATTGGAATTTATGCACGCACATATTGACAAACACTGTTACAGTATGTAACATTGAATAAGATCATAAAGAAGAAAAAAATATATAAATATACGGTGTGTTTAATAAATATCCGATTACATAAAATGTCTTTTTTTATTTGGTCCGTTAGTTATAATTTTAAAATATATAATATTATTTAGAAAACACGATCTATATTTAATTTTTTAATGTACAGGGTGGGTCAAATTCGACGCTTTTAAATAGAAACACCCTTTTCTATAGGAGATAGACGAAAACTAATATCGGTGTCTGGAGCTCAATTTTCATCAAAAACATGATGGTGAAAACCGTACATCAATATCTGTTACCGTTTCATGAGTTACGGGGGTGTTTTTAAAAAATGACGCATTTTAACAAATCGCTGTAACTTTTTTGATATGGAAAATTTTGTATTTTATGAAAACATTTCCAAAGCACCTTTTACGTAGAATTTAATGGTTTAAGTATAATTTTTTTTAAAATTAATAATTTAAGAGTTATCAACGTGAAAAATTTATTTTTTATTTGGGACACCCCCTATATTTTTAATTAACTGAAAAGAATTTAAAATTACCTTTCCAAAAATATAGCACACTTGATATTTTGTTATAATCCCCTTCGAAATACAGAATTTTTAAAAGTTCGCCACTTTTAAATAGTAGGCTTTGGACCCCTTATTGATGATATGCTCTTAATAGAACTCGAAAACATATTTTTCCAGCAAGGCGACGCACCGCCTCTGAACGCTGAAGTTATCAGCAAATTTTTGCAGCCAATTTCAAAAATAATTGAAGAGCTAACCAAGATCCCAGCCGTTGGCCGTCGAGGCCGCCTGACTTAGTGCCCATGGATCGTCAATCATTATGGATATATTTGCGGGAGAATAAAGGTTCTTTATTCTTGCGTATAATCTAGACAAGAATTAGAAATACTTAGCAGTTATGAGAGGGTATCTTTTACCCCCCACTGAGTTAATGAATTCCGCGAGAAATGTTCAAAAACTGCCTGGTCTGTCCACTTAACAGAAGACTATCGATAAGTCAAACACCTGTAGCAAAATCCCATGTCTTGGTTTGCTATTTATTTTTATTGTTATTAGATATAGTTTAAATGTGTTGATGTTGGTTAAAATTGTTTTAAAGCATTGCTGTCAGACAAAAAAACATTTTCTGATAAAGAATCTAGGGTTGCTGTACTTTAGAAAAAATCTAGTCGGCTGCTGTTACTTTTGATGTTTCTAATATTATTTTATTTGTTATAAATTGTATAGAATTCTGCGTCTCTCATAGCAAATATTATTTTCGTTTTAACTGGATGCTCACAGCTAGAATTTTTTTTGCATTACAGCCGGTGCCGTTCAAAGCCTACTTATTTAAAGCGGGCGAATTTTTATATACTTCTATATCTCGAAAGAGGAATCCAAAGCAAAAATATCAAGTGTGTTATATTTTTGGAAAGGTAATTTTAAATTCTTTTCAATAAATTAAAAATATACAGGGTGTCCCGTATAAAAAATCAAATTTTTTGTTAATAATTCTTAAATTATTAATTTTAAAAAAATTATACTTAAACCATTAAATTCTACGTAAAAAGGTGCTACGTGGAAATGTTTTCATAAAAATACAAAATTTTCCATATCAAAAAAGTCACAGCGATTTGTTAAAAATGCACATTTTTGAAAAACACCCCGTAACTCCGAAACGGTAACAGATATTAATGTACGGTTTTCACCATTATGTTTTTGATGAAAATTGAGCTCCAGACACCGATATTAGTTTTTATCTATCTCCTATAGAAAAGGGTGTTTCCATTTAAAAGCGTCGAATTTGACCCACCCTGTACTTACTAAATAAGTAACACGGGTAAAATATTTAGTTATATTTAAATACAGAGTGTTTCAAAAAACAAGAACTTTTTTTATATTTTTGATGAGGAATCAATCAGTACTTATTTAAAACTTTCGCAAGATAATGATACTAAATTTTTTTAAAGGTTGCTATATTAAACTTGGATCAAGGCAAGTTAATAAAATTGCGTTTATCTCATCAAGGAGACCGAAATTGACAAAATATCAAGAGACAACTTTTAATCGGCATTAAACTGCTTACACTATTTTGGTAACAAGAGAAAAAAAACAGTGGCGTACATGCTTTTTTTAGAAAAATATTCCAGTGATAAATATGCACGTCCCTGGTGAATATGTCGACAATTTTTTAGCATTAAAATATCTTGCATTTATAGTAACTTTTACCCTCAAAATTATATTCGAAACGTTAAAAATACTTGGAAAAAAATTATAATAAATCGAAAAAATATTAAGATTTTAACACCCTGTAGCTACGAAAAAAAGCAGAATCGGACATATGTTGATATGAAAATTAAATCTTATTTTTACGTGAGGAATATCCCCACTATATGGCACATGTTTTTTGAAACACCCTGTATAAAAAAAACCTTCTCTTACTGGTAGAGATTTATTACCATACCAGTAATGACATCTACCTATATCTAAACTATTTCCATAAAATTACCTACCAAACCAAACCAAACCAAAAACCGATTTTGAGTACAGAAACTGCTTTAAAAAATTAAGTTATATTAACAAAGTGTTAATTTAATACATAAAATACAGGGTGTTCCATTTTAAGCAGCTGAATATGTGTATAAAGAAGTGTGAAAGAACATTATGGTATTTTTACAAAGGAAAAATATTATTGCATTTAAAAAACAACAACTTTAGTAGGTAAATACGTCTTAATCATCCTGTATATTTAAAAGAAAATACTAATGATAACCAATTTATGAAAAACAACGAGTCAAAATCTATTAAGGACTTTTTTGAGACGGTATCCAAAAAATATCTTTCTTCAATTATCTACTCAACTAAATTCTTCTATAATATAGTCAAATCGATTAAAAATAAAACAGCTAAAATGAGAAAATATTGGATGTAGGTCAAGTAAAGGACATATACTCCCAAACTGCTTCAATCCCCACCCAATAAACCACATGCACACATCCCTACTACTCACTACCTGTGCTACTATTCCCCCACTTACCTGGTTTCAATACAGCCACTGCCGGTAGCACCAAGAACTATATTTATTTATATTTATATTTTGTTACAATATATACCGAAGGAAATGTTAGTTATTTTACTTATTTATAACATCTATGACAGCAAATTCGAAGGTCTTTTTGACAGATACTATATAAAAACGTTAACGTTACAGTTTTATAAAAGTAGAAAAATATAAAAGACGCCTGTGTACGACTGATCAAGGGTAGTACTTGTTTGTATTAGTCTATAATACGAGTTTTTAGGTGTTTTTAGCCAGGTTTTTTCGGTGTGAGGGGAGTTAAAAAATCGGAATATATATACGGTGAGAAGCGGATGCGGTAAGGTATTTGGGTTTGGATATTAAATATATATTTTTCTATATACACTCGTCGAGTTGCGGTGGTTGCGAGCCGCGATGCTGCCGCGCCGGATGCACAATGACGATAGGCGACGCCGGGCGTCGGTATATAACTCGCAGCGAGCGCCGCGACGGCCGGCTTGACGTCACCGGTGACGTCACGAGGCGGCGGCGGCGTCGCCGTGGCAACGGCGGGGAGGTTTGTTTATCGGCCGGCTGGGCGGTTGTATTTAGGGGTTCAGAGCGACCAAAAAATTAGCGAAATTATAGTACCTTTAAGCCCGGACCTCATTAGCCAACACGCTACGCCACGTGATGCCATGCTACCCCACGTCATGAAGATCAGTGCGTATGTTTTTCCATTTAATTACGTGTATTGCGTACACACTAGGCAACACGCCACGCCATCCGGCGCTACAACACGCTGTGACACGTGTGATGGTCGATTCGTCGGTCCCAGATCTCACCGACGTGTGTTACGGCGTGTTGTTCCCCGCTTGTCTCTCTAGTCCCGCAGCTATTTTTTTAACGATTATTACAGTTGAGGGTTGGAACCTTTGGTGTTACATAGCAAAATAAAAACACTAAATCACCACAATACACCAAAACACTTTTACTTTTACACTGGACGCGCGTTTCGCTAACCATGTTAGCATCATCAGCAGATGATTATAAATTTTTGAGTTTATAATCATCTGCTGTTTTTATTTAGCTATTTTTTAACGATTATTTTCGAATGCAATAGAAAAAAAAATGTTTTTTTGAGTGTTCAATCAGTAAAAATACAAATTCTATTATTAATTTAAAAATTTAATAATCAAAAATTAAGGAAAGAAGGTTAATAGAGATTGTGAAGTTAAGGTATTATGATTATAATCTAATATCGGTATGGGGTATCGATTTTTAACTCTAATAAAAATTTCAGACGTGTTAACACGTGTTACCTAATGTGTACACCCATTCCCACGTCGCCGTCGCAACACGTGGTATAGCGTGGCATCGCGTGGCATCACTTGGATGTTGGCTAATGGGGTCCCGGCTTTATAGTACCTCCGTATATCCTTTACTAGCGTGTACCCGCGACTTCGTTCGCGTCGAATTAATCATTTGTAACATAATATCAAAGCAAGAATTTCGATTAACATACAAACTGGATAAAATATTCTTACATTTATGTCAGCATGAGAAAAAACAATATGGCGATATTATTATTGTATAACTTGTGTTTCATCTCGATAGAATTTGTCTTTCGAAAAATCCGTTTGCCAAAAATAAGCTTTTTACGTCAAGCAGTTGAAGCAGAATCGTGGTTAATCAATGGTCATATTTTATGAAACACCCTGTATAAATTTTTAATAAATCTTAAAATATTTAAAACAACAAAATAAAATATATGTGTTTAAGAGTTTTTCCGAAAAACTTACCGGTTTTTAAATAAAAAATATTCTAATATTTGAGGGGTGGTTTCACCCCCTTAAAATTCGAGTTTCCAAAAATTCCTTCTTATCGAACCTCTACACCCTAAAGTAAATCCGTTTTCCAAAAATCAGCTTTTTACGTCAAGCGCTTTAAGCAGTATCGTGATTAACCAATGACCAGATTTTTCGAAACACCCTGTATACAATTTTAAAAAATCTTAAAATATGTAAAAAAATAAAATAAAATATACGTGTTTAAGAGTTTTTCCGAAAAACTCACCGTTTTTTAAATAAAAAATATTGTAATATTTAAGGGGTGGTTTCACCCCCTTGGAACTGGAATTTAGAAAAATCCCTTCTTATCGAACCTTTCCACCCTAGAATCAACCTGTATGCCAAAATTGAGCTTCTTACGTTGAGTGGTTTGAGATGGAAAGCATATGTACCAGCCATCAATCTAATAAAACCAGACTCTATTATTTGTTACTCTGAGCTAGAGCGACCATTTCTATTACGTCACTGGCAGAGCTGCTTCGTCCCTTTCCCCTTCCCTACCGACTAAGGCCGACTTTAGGCGAAGGGGTAGCCAAAGAAGGACCAAAGGGTAAAGGGCCAGAGGATGGGATCTGGACCAGAGATATTCTGGATGTGTAGGCGGAATGGGAGGCAATTGGAAGACGGCGAAATAGATGTGGAAGTGGGTAAAAAAGGGCATAACATTGTAAATAGGGTAATATGTAAATATTGACATTTTGCTTCGGTATTAATTTAGCTACTCCTCCGTAATGCACACAGTTTGTAGTTGATAAAACAATAACAATAACTTTACTGATTTAAGACTGATATACAGGGTGATTCGAACTGTATTCTGGAAACTTCTCAGGAAACTATTCAGGAAACTTCTCAAAAAGATCTCAGGATTGGTCTTCTTCTAGGTCTCTTAATTCCTCGGAGATACCATGCTGTAATTTTTGTGGTCCCTCTGTTGTCCGTCCTTCTTGCCAGCTGTCCTGCCAATTTTCACTTGAGGCATTTGATTGTTTGATTAAGATTTATAAGTCTAGGTCTTAACCTCGCCAAATTATTCCCCAGCCGTCTTTGACACCGTTTTTTTTCGATCGTACGGATCGAAAAATGTGTTATGAGGTGGTATTCTAAAATTGACTATACCTACATATGTATAAATAAATTGCATCATTATTTTATAAGAATAAAACAGAAATATTGTCTTAATTCATTATTCATTGATCCCTTTTTTATTCTTGTTCATTGATATAATCGATAAAGTCTCTTTAGCAAAGCAAACAGAAATTGTTTGCTTCTCTATTTGATCGATACCGTTTTTTGTACCAAGTTACAATTTCATCAGCTTTTTTTCTAATTATATCTTATTCAATAAGAAATAAACCGTAAAAATTACTGTGGTTTATTGGTTTTCTTCATTATATAATATCTATTGAAATATATTTTTATAACTATTTATTTTGTAGTAACTAGTGACGCTTAGTTTCTTCTTTTTTAATAAAAAAAATCATACGATCAAAAAAAAACGGTGTCAGAGATGACTTGGAAATGAAGATAGCTGTCATTTAGTATGTAAGATTATATGGGGAATTTATGACTATTTCCAACCCAACCAACTCCTACTTGTAGAGGGCGCCACCGACATATTTTTTTACTGGTTTAAAGAGTAATAACTTTTCATCCGTACATATATAAAACTACTGAGTAAAAGAATATACATATAAAGGATTTTTTAAGTTGAAAAGGTCTCTTGGTAAAAATAGTTAGAGTAATTTTTCTCGAGATATTTGGAATCGAAATTATCAATACATTATTGACATAAATTAAACATATATGTTGACTAAATTTAATAGTTATTAGATTGAAGTCATAAATTTGATATGTTGTTGTGTCAAAAGTTCAATAGAAACTATTTTATCATCATTTTTTCGCAGAAAAATTTATGATTAATTTAAAAAAATAAAAATTTCTCAAATTTACTTTTTCAGTCAAATAACTATACTAAGGGCTGGCAAAGGTCAGTCTTGGGTCGAGATTTCTGTATGTAAGAAGAGTACAATGCGTTTATAATGTACTGAACAAAGAGAGAACAGTAAACACGTTGCCAAACGTATGAAATATACCGAGAAACTGTGCACATCGCTAAGAGACGTGGAAGGGGATATAGCAGATTTGTCGCAGTTGACCGGTCGACCCAATCAATACCTCTGTCAGTACTTAAAGTTCAAGGGAAAGGTGTACGTCATGCGTTCAGCTTCACGATTAAATTACGTCTCGTGATACTTAATTTGTTTATTTATTAACGAGTCGTTGTAATTTTCCCTATAGCTTGAATTTTTTTAAGTGCAAGCTAGAAACACTTGCATTTTTGGTCAAAATAAGTGGAATTGTGTGGGTGTTCGATAGTGGTCGCGCTATTAGAACTCTGAATTCAAAAATCGATATCTCGAAATCTAATAGAAATAATAGATTGTAGTTTTTTCAAGAACTTTATTAATATTTCTGCCGTATTTTCTTTGTAGACAGTATGTGAAAATCTTTATCAATAAAAAAATTACACGATTGCTGAAAATTGCTATGCTCTAAAAGTAAATGGATGGATTGTTTACAATTTTTGAATAATGGAAAAAACAACCTTATCGAATTTTTCTTATGTAAACATATTGTAAAATATCCGATCTTGAAAATAAAAAAAAGTTTCAATATCTAAAGTGGTTCTTGAGTTATGGCCTGTTATGTGTTAAAAACTGAGTTTTTAAATTATCGCGATTACTGACGTTTTCTCGTTATAAAAAAATGACACCTTAACGATATCCCTATAATTCCATTTCAGATGCTCAGAAACATGTCTAATGATTTTATCTAGTTATCTCTTGAAAAATAAAGTCTTTTAAAAATAAGCGGTTTGCGATCGTGATTTTGATAGGGAAAGGCGTATCGGCAACGCCGCAACAGCACACCGTCGCACAGTAGGCAATATGTCCAAACCAAGTTGCAAAAAATAACCTCCACAGTTAGCATTTATGACAATAACATTAGATTGGAAACATATTAGTAAAGAGGAAACCACATAAAACTAACAAAAAAACATATTCGGAGTCTCTTTCGAGGGGCTGTAAAACGAACTTTGCGCAAATCCTACATTTTCAGTAAATTTGTGTCCAATAACTGCCTTTTTTCTACAATTTTCTAAATAGTAGGCGTTGCATTCAAGTGACACAGTAGTATAACAATTGAATCGGACGACTTTAGCTTGCTGTCAATAATTATTGTAAAATTGTCATAACGTGTTTTACGTAGATTCCCGGTTGCGGTAAATTTAATGTCAAGGTAAGTAAAAAAGTATCTTTTATTTTGATTTTTTGAATAAAAACTAGGTAAAGGTCAAAGTAGAACATAATCATTTAAGGTTTTTTTGATAGTGGCATATATTCTGTCTTATAAAAGTTGAGTCAAAAAAATCGCAAAAAATCGCAACATTAAATTTATTGGAAGCGTAAGCCTCCATGCGTATGTGTATAGTAAGATCCTTTATGAAGATACTTCTCATAAATTAATTGTTATAGTAGCTAGAGAAGAACTTGAAAT